ATATAAAGACTGCAAAGGCTGAAAAATCTTGGAAGTCTGTATGAAATTGGAGGTAGTTTGAGGATTCAACTTTTTGTTTTTTAAGCTCAAAAAAGGGGGGGTCGTATTATACATGAGCTCATATTATACACGAATAAATACGGTAAGTCTTAATGAAAAGAAGTATTGGAAGTGTTTTTAGCATTTCTCATTCTGAAACATTTTGTCAACCATTTGGGCTTAAATAATGGTCTCAATATGACCCTGATGTGAAATATGATCACTGAATGCCAYCTCCATCTTTAACACAAAACATCACATCATCTGCAAAGAAATGATTGCTGCGGCATGACAACATGAAGTCAACATTTGTTGCATTTTTGTRAAGTGTTGATTTGTTGTTTGAATTATGTTTCAGGCACATATAACAACTCTAATTCTAGGCTTTTTTGATAAGTTTAGCCTAGTTGCTTAATGCTTTTAGCCAAAGCCTCTACATGTTCTGTTGGGTCGCTGAGACAACAGGTCTTGGAGAGAAACCCAGACCTCCCTCTCTCCAGTGACACTCTGCAGCTCTGCCTAGGTGGACCCTGAGGTGTTCTTAGGCCAGAGATGATACATAATCTCTCCAGGAAATTCTGTCTTCCCTGGGACCTCCTACCAGTGGGATGTGCTGGCAAAGCGAGGCATCCAGGAGGCATCCTAATCAGATAAACCTCCTCAACTGACTCCTTTCGATGTGGAGGAGCAGCTGTACTCTGAGCTCCGCCCAAATGATGGATCTAACACTGAGCCCGGCCACCCTACGAAGGAAGCTCATTTTGGCCACTTGTATCCTAGATCTGGTTCTTTTGGTCATGATCTACACCTCATGTAAGGGTTGGAACGTTGGCAGACCAGTAAATCCAGAGCTTTGCCTTTTGACTCATCTCTTTYTTCACAACAACTAACCGAAGCAACGCCCTCATTACTGAGGACGAGGCCCCAATCCGTCAGTCCATCTCCTGCCCCATCCTACCATCACTCGTGAACAAGACACCCGGATACTTAAACTCCTCCACTTGAGGCAGAGGCTCTCCCCCTACCTGGAGGGGGTAATCCCCTTTGTTCCGGTCGAGAACCATGACCTCAGACAAAAGCTCCATCATGCTGCAGTTGAACTGCTGAAATCGGAGTTTCATGACAAAAATTGCGCCATTCTGTTCACACCGTCGACATTCAGGCACCTTCTTGTCGCAACTCGCTGGCTGAAATTTTTACCCCCCTCCWCATAAGAACTAGTTGTGTGATTGGTCAGAAGTTTGTGGGAGTGTTTTTTATGCTGAAATTGTTTTATTGCTGCATTTTGCTTCAATCACTTGCTTAAAAAATACAAAAAAAAACTGCGCGCTTTCAGAAGCGGACTGTTTTAGGCTACCCAAAAGCAGACATATACAGTATAAAGAGAGTCAAAGGACCAAAAACTGGATATAAAACAGACGTGCACAAAGGAATCTGTCTGATAAAAACTGTGGAGCTCTAACTGGGACAGATCTGTGCACAAATAACTTCAGGTGATGGGTCTTGGATTTTTTTTCACATTGAAAACTCCAGTGGGAAGAAACCCTGTGCAGTGATGTATACCACAGTGGAAGGGGTTTCCCAGGAGCTCGGCACGTGGTGTCTCAGTCTATGAAAGGTGTGTGTGTGAAAACGAACACTGAACAACCACGTTACCACGCATCGTCCTGTTGGCTGCCGATCGACCATACTGAAGCTGCGAACCACCCCAGTGCACGCTGAAGGTCTTGGTCCGAAGACGCCAACAGAACCACATCATCTGCATACAGCAGAGATGAGACCCTGTGATTTTCAAACCAGACACCCTCCTCTTCACGACTGCACCTTGATGCTGCCATGATGCAGTTTACTTGGCATCTGAAAATACATTTTCTCAAAGGTGTTTTTAATCTGAAAAGAGCTTCACTAAGTGAGAACTAATGTTGAGAGCTCAGCAGACAGTTAGGTTTCACTTTCACTTTCACCCGAGAGCCTGCAGGAGTCATGGGCGGGGTGTTTGAGGTGGGGGTGCGGGGGGGGTGCTCTGCCATGAGGAAGTTCAGCTTAAAGACACGTCCCAGGGGC